TCAACCCAGAGATCCAAGTTTTTTCTCAGTCTGGAGGTTGTATATGAAATACAAAGTCTGTAATTTTTCCAAAAAATTTTGGTGTCTCATCACTCCGGTGTTGAGAATGGAGCAAACGTTGCTCACCGAGAGGGAAAGTTACTGAACGATAACCAGTCTATCATTCTTAATTACTGTTTTACAAGACAGCTTAGGTTTTGCTCATACAGCTTTATCTTTTACTGCCCACCACATTTAACCATTTTGAAAACAAATTCACAAACCTTCTGGAATGTGGCCCTATCTGTCTGGGATCACAGCTTTCCATGAGAGTTACATGACACAGAATAATAAAAGCATTGACCAACTGCAGTTACTACAGGGCAGAAGAATTTTTATAGGAACAAGACCTGGGCTCTGCAAAGTACTTATCATTGGAAAGGCTGTCAGATTTATCTTCTTCCACAACCAAATTCAGGATTTCCTTTCAACTTCATTGCATCTCCTCCCACAAAGTGTATAAACCCTTCCACCACACCTACAAATGAAAACGTTCACAGACTATCAACACAGTCTTCTAGATGATGGGAATGAGGAGAGGCATGATGCCACTTTCCCACCAAGTACATTCTGGGGTTGATCACCTACTACAGATAGAGAGGTGATGTATACCCAAACGCTTGATAAAAAAGTTACAGTTCATGGAGAAGTGGAGAGGACCCACGGTATAAAATATATTTGGAACTTTTACTTTAGTCTTAATAAGAAGACTATGTCAGAAGCTTAAAGTTAACCAAGAGAAATTTGAGGACAGAGTTTCATACTACTCTGCTTTAAACACATCAAAGCCTTTTTTCCCTAGTTCCACTGTCTTTTGTTGTTTTTTAAAAGAAGCTGTTTATTGAACCTTTGCATCTGTGACCTTTCTAAGCTTCTGCCCTGGCAGATGGCACAAGCCATGTTTTCTGGAGGGCTTAGAGGGCCATTTCACAGTTTCTGAAGTAGCTGATATGCTTTATTCAATACAAGCCAAATATGATTTGTACTCCTGCTCTGTGCATAAAAAAGGTCTCTGTAGATATTTTACAGTATTTATAAATCATCTACAAGGATACCAATCTCCATGTGGACAAATGCATAAAGGTGAAGAGGGATGCTGTTTTCAAAGCACAGTCCTGCTATCCAGACAAAAGGATGAGATTTAGTGACTGAGGTTTTGCTCTCAGCATTGCTGTGGCATTAGGGATGCTGAGAGATCTTCAGAAGTGAAAGCTGTGCAAGTGAACAGCTGAGTCATCCTAAAACTATAATTAACAGGGATAGCTGTGATGATGACCACAGTCATTACTGGTTTTGTTAGCTGCTGTGTGACACTTACTTATCTATTCCTTTTCTAACAGTGTAATAACCAAGCTTCCCTTTCCTTATAATTTCATTTCATCTAGAGATCTTGTGAGTAGTTTTTAGTAGAGACCTTCCAGGCTGCTAAGGATCGTGGAGATAACAGCAGCAGCTCAAACACCATGAAATAACATTGAAGTGTTTATTATGGTGTAACAAAAGGAAAAACATTTTTCAGCAGTGCTCTAAGTCACAACTGTCTCACATGTTTAAGAGAAGCAAGTTATTACGAAGAATTATGAAGTAGTTAATAAGAACTAAGTAACAAAGTATGTGAGTAGGAAAGAGATCAAGTAATTTAATCTATCTGCAGCTGTATAAAAATCATCCGTATTAAGTATATGAAATTTCAAAATAAGCTTTGTAAACAGTAATACAGATTTGGGTTGGTTTTTTTTTTCTTGAAGGGGTGGGCCTGATTTTTTTTTAAGATTTTCCATGGCAAACAAAAGGCAAAAATTTTGTTACTGAAGCTTTGTACTTCATTGTACTTTGTATCTGTGGAAGCCAGTTTCTCAGATTTGTGGTGCAAAACTGTCTATTATAACATTTTAGGCCCAATATGTCAATTCCTTTGTTAATCAACAAAGATTCAGGAATTAGACAGAAGTACAATTATTCTATGTTTCACTTGGAAAGCCTGAGGTAAGAAGGAAAATGATCTAATGTAAGATGTAAAATCTTACATCTGTTCTGAGAAAGCATTAAATCAAAGTAAGAACCAAATGATTTAGTATCAGCTTCAAGAAACCCTTCAATAAAAACCTGGGAAAAACAGTTTCAGGAACAAATGAAAATAAGATGGTAAATCAAGCCAGTATCACACAATGCACTGAGAAGTACAGCATCATGAACAATCACCAGGGTTTGCTCTAAGATACTCTAAGAAAATAGAATTTTCCTGATTTAAGGAAGCAAATATCTGTTTATGAGACAATAATGAACTTTTTATGGGGTTTCTAATGAACTTGTTTTCATCTTATCCTAAGAGTAGTTAATTTCATGCCAGAGGGGCACATTTGGCAAGAGGCTTGTATTCTGGAGAGCCATAAAAGGAAAAGTTCAAGTATGCTTAATTTTTATCCAAACAAATTCATGATAAAGTCCCAAGCCAGTCTTGTAGCCACCCATTTCTTAACATCAAATTAAGGAACTCAGGCAGTAATATGAGATTCAATATAAGTTTTTCCTGAATAATGACTTGCATAGATTTGAATTTCATTATAAAGTTTGCAAGAGAGGATTGCTCCATATACAACTACTAATGCAGTTTTTTGTTCTCTTGAAGAATTAAAATTTAGCTTTTCACATGCTGCAAGGAGATAAAAGGCAAAAATTTGTTACAATTAAGTTTTAAATTTTATTGCACCAGTAACTAATGCAAATTAAAGGTGGATTAAGAGTTTAACTTATAAAAGTACATTTACATTAGGAATTTGTACCATTCAATTTTATAAATTATACAAAAGGATTTTTTTGGTTAAAAATTAACATGCATTCTTCTAAAATATTTTTTTCATGATTACTAGAAAATTTTTAACTTGGACACTTCCTTGAGTAGTTTTAGTCAACCCTTATAGTGTCACTTGATTCCCTCTCCACAGCACTGTGTTTTGGTTTGATTCTGAGGAAAGATATTTTGCTTTTTTCACAAAGAAAAAATTACTACTAGTAGGCAACCTCTTTTACAACAGAGAGTGCCACCAAATCAAGAAGTTTTATGAAAGATCATTTAAAAAATGCTGATGATTGGAAGTTTGCCAACAGCAGCCTGAGTTAACAGAGCACTGGGCAATTTCTCTGCCAGACAGAGTTGATTTTCATCGCTCACTCACATGACAGGTCTTCTAGATGTCAGCCACAGAAACAGCAACCCCACTATTACAAGTGCTTGTCTCTCAAGCTGTGAACTTCAGCCAAGTGAGATGTAGACAACTTGGTCATTATTCAGGAGATGGAATAGGTCTCATTGCTACAGCAAGTCTTGCTGGCAACACTGCACAACGGATCAACAAGTACTGGATTCACTAGTATTTTTGCAGACAAATTCAACTGGAAAAGTATCACTTTGAAAATGATAGCATGTATTCAATGCTTTTTCAAGTGTATTGATGACAAATGAACAACATATTTAATGGTACCAAGAACTACAGGGCTTAAAATAAAAACAAACAAGAAAAATCCACTCACAAAGATAAAATGACATTGCTGTTTTGAATTCTACTAAGACTAGGTCAAGAACAGGAGGAAATGCTGGCTGTTTAAACAAGACCATGAAAGACCTGGATTCAGTTCCCAGCTGTCTAACTCACTTTCCAAGGGCTTCTGTTCTGATGCCTGTCCTGGGAACCCTGACATTTCTCTCCTTGCTATAAACTCTCACAGTAGCTCAGACCAAAAGCCTCATCCAGACTCAACTTAACTTTTAAAAGGGAAGGAGTGGGTAGGGGTCATTTCAGATGAGTCACGATCATATTTGAGACATATCTTAATGTATTCAAATCTAACAACAAATGTAATTTTTTAGATTTGATATTAAAAAAAAGAGAAGGAAGACATGCACCATATGTAGAAACATTCTAAAATTGTAGGTTACAAATAAACATCTCTATCAATATTTGAAAAGAATGGAAACTTTAAAAAGTATTACTTGAACAATGCTTCTCTCTGATTATTCTACTTTTACTTTGTTTTTTCTTTGGAAAAATTGATTAATGTTAAATAACTAGTCTAACATTCTGTACCTCTTCTTTTATGGTCAAAGAAGAAATATGTTTTAACTGTGTCTAAACAATTTTATTATTTCAGTCATAGTAATTTTCTGCACTTACTGGCAACTTATTGCAGCCCACCAATCTTTTCCACATATATTTACAACATAACACTAAAAATGAGTAAGACTGGCCAAGAAAATTATAAAAATAGCACTCACAAATAAAATATTGTCCTATGGATCACAATGTAAAGTGTGGTAGGCATTAGAAAGAGGAAGTTTTTTTTTAACATCAAGTAGTCATAGGTGTCCAGAACACATCCTCTATTCAATTGGGCAATCACAGATTATAATTTCTGTATTTCTACAGGGAGATTATTCCGTAAGGGCATACCTTATAGCAACAATCAATACATCCACCTTCATAAAAGTTATAGAATTATACGATTGATGAAAGATGCTGAAGACCTTAGTTCTATTCAACATGCAATTGGAATATGTGTAGGACAAGCCTTCTCTTACAGAACTAGCTAACCAGAAGCTGAATTTCATCATGACAGTTTTGCACCCTCCTTGCTATCCGCCATACAGCTGCAACATGATGCTAGACAGCATAGCGCTATGGGACCATGCTACTGTGTCCCCACAAAAAAGAAAGGCACTGGGTTGAAATCCACCACAAGAAAAGGAACAATTTTTGTGGCTTAGATTTTCCCCTTGCGTTAAAACAGACTTGCTGCAGAAGGAAGACAATGACAGAACTATGCTGGTCAAACCCATTCCCACCACAGACCCCATTCTTCTACCAGAAGTATCACCTTCTACTTCAATTGCCACATAACTTCCACTGTTAAAAACAGGGCAGGATCACCATCATACAAAAGCATAAAAGAAAGCAGGAACATACGATGGACATAGATATTGCTTCTTTTTCCCTTTTCCTTTCTTTGAAGACTTCTCTTTGGAATAGACTTCTTCAATCCATAATGAGAATGAGATGAAACATAAAATTGCTAGTAAGAACTTCATCTTGAAGATTATGCTTCAGAGAAATCTTCAGTCTGTGGTAAAAGAAAGCAGCTTATGTTAGTAGGGCTGCATATAGCAAAAGAAAATACATACCTGCATAAAGTAAACACATATTTCACGGGAGTTGGGTTTTTGGTTGTTCTTCATTGTCCTGGGAGAGAGAATCTGTTCACATGTATCCCTGACGTGAAACTGACTTAGGCAATTTCCAGAGAGTCAAGTAGCTTCCCAAAGTTGAAACTGACAGTGAGGAACAGATTTAAATGCAGGTTTGCTTCAGTGTGTTTAAGAAATGTGATGTCTTTCAAAGACTGCCTAACTGAAAATAGTCAGAAGCTTGGAAAGGGGTTCCTCACCAGAAATGTATCAACTGCATTAAATACAATGTCAACCAGTCATGTAGCAAGGCAAAGAACTGCAAGCTCTCTGTGACCTTGCACAGATAAAATAGTGATCATTTCAACGCTGGTTATGAGAAGAGGTTATAAATACAATTTTATGTACAGAATTTAAACACAACAATTTTGCATGAAGCATTTCCACTACAGAGCCAGCACTGACAGGGCCTTGCAAAGATGACTAAACACAACCCGCAATACTATGCTTTATTGTATCGTGTTCAGCCTAGTATTTAAACTTCTCTGGGGCAAAAGCACATACCCCAAAGGCCAGGAGATGAGTCTCTGTTTGGCCAGAGCAGACCCACCTGCCCCTGGCCACAGCACTGCGGCACCAAAGGCATTTTCCATTTGTTTGCCATTCCACAGATAACTCCCAAGCATTTCCTTGGGCCAAGAGAAATCTCGCAGACGCCTCAGAACCTGCTGCATTTTCCACTTATATTTATCCCCCCCTCCCTCCGCCCCGTTCTCAAAGAGCTGTGCTTCGCCCTCTTTACCCCCACCTCAGAGAGGCACCGGGATGCCTCGGCTGCCCCTTCCTTGGGAGCCGCAGCATCGCCACCGCCCCGGCCCGGCCGAGAAAGGTCGCGGATCTGCCCCTGCCGCCACCGGCCCCTCGCCTGGCCTGCCGGCCCGAGGCCTCCCACCGGCCCCGGGAAGGGAGCGGCCTCCGCGCTGCCGAGCGCTGCCGGCGCTCCGCGGAGAGCGGGAGGACGAGACGAGCGGGGCGGCCCCGGCAGCACCCCTGGGCCGCGCCCCAGCGCCGCCCGCCGCCGCCCCACCGGCGCTGGCCGAGGTGCTGACGGGGCTCGGCCGTGCCGCCCGGCGGAACGGGGCCCTGGGGCCGGACCCTCGATCCCCGCC